GTTTTTTTGTTGTTTTTTGTTGTGTTTTTTTTTGCAAAGCAGGAAAACAATCAAATATCAAACACTCTACATACATAAGAAAAAGATATACACATATATAAGAATACAAATAAAATAAATACAATAATAAAAAACGTTATTTATTTTTTATTTATTTATTTTTATTCTTATATATGTGTATATCCTTTTCTTATGTATGTAGAGTGTTTTATATTTGATGTTTTCCTGCTTTGCCTTGAACTGCTTTTTTTTATTTTATTTTTTTATATATACATTTTTTTTTTTAACTTTTTTGCAAAGCAGGGAAAAATCAAATATTAAACACTCTACATACATAAGAGAAGGATATACACATATATAATAATAGAAAATAAAAAAATAATAAAAATAAAATGAGACTGGGTTTGTTAGATTTAGCTTGGCCTTCTCTTATGTATGTAGAGTGTTTAATATTTGACGTTTTCCTGCTTTGTCTTGAACTGTTAACAAGCTGCCGCCAAACCGTAGAGTTCAGCTCAACCTCGCCTGATGACGAAGCCATAAGACCCCCCCCCCCTTTCCCATGTGGGGGTGCACTGTGTGGGTGTTTTCAGACAGAACCAGGTGGATCTGTAACCCTCCCTGTGGATCCTGGAGCTCCTCCGGGTCTAACGGAGCCCCGCTGCTGCTTTGGCCTGCCTCTCGCTACCTCAGACTACAAACGCAAACTTCTGAATTATGGATGTTGATTACTTTGTCATATTATGTGTCTCTGTATAAACCTCTGGCTGATGATACCTGTGATGTTGACTGTCTCGTTTTTGGGCTGATCCTCTCAGTTAAACCCCGATCGGGGAAGTTTCTTCTTCATCTGATCATTAAAACTGCTCCAAAACCCAAAAGTTTAACCGGTTTATGATTCCCAGAAACGCCAAACGTTCAAAAATCTTCCAGCATTTTAAAGCTGTGGGATTTTAAATGTTGTTGGGTTTTTTTAACAGAGTTTGAACAAACATACCAACTTTGATGCATTATCAGCTTTTGTTCTGTCAGATTCCAGAAGTCCCCTGAGGACTAAGATGTCCCCGTTTGGGGGAAACACCAGTCACACCAGTCAGACGCAAACGCCATAAACCTGACGGATAAACACTCTGAAAGGTGCTTTTGTTCCGCTGTGTTTCTCCTCAGACCGGGACCCTCTGGCCTAACAGTGAGCTGACAGTAAGCAGAGACAGACAGAGGAAGAGGAGGAGGAGGAGGAGGAGGAGTTCTTCCCCCCGGGCTGTAATCAGGTAAACGAACGTCTTGTTTTTTTCTCATGGGAAGCATCCGGGCGGGCGGGTTTATCTGAGCAGGTGTGGTTCAGCTTTGGGGGCCCGGCGGGCTGTGGATGTCCGCCCGCCCCCCCCCCCCAGAGCCCCTCCCAGTGGGGGGGGGGGTCCCATGGGCGCCGTCCGGCTGTTCGTCCCCCCCGGTCTGAAAAACGACAACAAAAGACCTTAAAGTGACCTATTCTCTTATGGGTCAACATCTCTGATGGACAGAACATTTACGCCAGAACTGCTCAAAATGGAGGATTTTAACTGGTATGTTTGAGAGGCTAATTAGATAGATAGATAGATAGATAGATAGATAGATAGATAGATAGATAG